CCTGGCACGCCATCTAGTTCGAGTCCCCGACTACGCAACACTTTCAAGAAGGGAGAAGAGGACGCATAGGAAAAGAGTTTGTAGAATCGAAAGGAACCTTGGTCAGCATGGTAACAATTCCCCAGCACCTCCTTGGGCCTGGTGCCCTCAGAAATAATTAAAAAAAAAAAAATGCGTTTGATTTTTTTTTTTTTTTTTTTTTTGGGGGGGGGGGGGGGGGCGGAGTATTTCTCAAGAAATGCAACGAAATACATTTCACCCTGATTGTATCGCGATACAAAAAAACATTCCAAATGTATTTCGATACAGGAATACAGATACTGGTGAAAAAAATGTATCGCGATGCAGAAATAGATACGAAATGTATTTCTGAAATACTATCGCGATACATTTGTATCGCGATAGTGCCCAACCCTGCCGGTGACATCACGTCTCTTGCAAGCTCACGTGACGAATAGTCACTCGGTTACTATGGGCACAGTGCCAGCTCGGCCCGTTGCTATGGTACCGCGTGTGACCAATCGTGGTGAGAGGCGGCACAGGGAAAAGCGTGGCGCTACTCTGGCAGCTGCGCTGCCATATCGAATGGCTCTAATGTGCGCTAGCCCACTCTGCCACCGATCCCCCTAGGTACACTGTACCCTAGGTGTTTTCGAGAACCTGCTCGTGACCCTTGTGACGGGGATCTCGTCTTTTTTTCGTAAGATTAACTATGACTCATATCAAAAACTAGGAAGGAGCGCAAGGAAATATTTGAAACTAGAATCCTTCTTTGCGTCAGGGACAGAATCAGCGCCACTTTGCCTGAACTTCTCAAGCTCGAATTTCATCCACCTTTCAAAAGATGGTGCAAGGGAGCGTCGTCTGCTACAACATAAGTCCTTTTTAAAGGGTTGGTTCTCATTTGAACCCGTTCGCATTTCTACCTTCTCGTTTTTACCTTCTCATTTCAACCCAGCGCAAAACCAAATACTTTACTAGGGGGAATACATTCCACTCTGCTCATTTGCATTAGACAGAACGCCTAGAGCGCCGAATCCAGCCCTGACGGTATGGAGGTCCGCGTCAGTTCACGCGCAAGTGCACGTGGAGGTTCGCGGCGGCCGCGGTGGTGTCGTCTCCGATTCCACCTAAAGCCCCTACATGCTTCAAAAGTAGCTCAACGTGCTTCGATGCACGAGGCACGTGGAACGTGCGACCCTTGGGAAGATCATGGCGGCACAGCGCAGCAAAGTATTTAGCGCACCACTGAGCTAGAGTTTAGACGCCATGTTATTCTTAGAAGTGGCGCGCGGCACGTGTCTCGCGCATTTCCACAACAATGATTTTGGTATGTAGAACATCAATTTCATCGATAACCGAGACCTCCCCGACGATAGATGGCTCTCGCCAAGCCCAGAAAACCTGTCCGCGCCGAGGCTATTGTATTTGAGAGGAGTGGAATGTATTCCCCCTAGTAAAGTATTTGGCAAAACAACTTTCGCGTTTCTCCCTTTCTCATTTATACCGTTCTCAAAACAAACTTTCGGGTTTTGACCCTTCTCAAAACAAACTTTCGGGTTTTGACCCTTCTCAAAACGACTTTTCTCATTTTAACCTTTCTCATTTCAAATTTTCTCAAAACATACTTTCTGGTTTTGACCATTGTAAGAAAGATTTTCTCATTTTAACCTCTCTCATTTCGAACCCAAATTAATCCAACATCATGATCTCGCAATCTTTCTGCGGCATTTATGTCGAATTCGGGTAATTAATTGCCTTCGAGCCCTTGCCTGTGGCACCGGCGACCAAAAACGCGCCAGCGGCGCAACACGTCTCCACCCGAATGCAAAGCACAATGAACTGGCGTTTTTATTTGACTGGGTGGCGAGTGAGCTCTGTTAACTTCTTCTTCGATCATTCCATGGTACCATTAGCACGCTGCATACGCCAACAACATAAATTACGACTCTTTGAGATGTGTGTAAACAGAAGCGGCTTCACAAAACTTTTCGAAATATTGGCATTACCACAGTCCGTACAGCTGACAGAATATTAAAATATAAAATCAATGAAAGGGCAGATGTATAAATCAGTGTGGTGCTGCCCGCAAGCGCGTCAAATTTCAATAAACTTTGTTTGGATCTTCGATTAACTGTTGCCACGGAGGCTTACCAGCGTCGCTTTCCATATTCTGTTTACTGTTAGTAGAGAGTTTTTGTAGATCGTTCCCATGACTCCGATAACGATACCCGATTCTCCGCCACCGCCTCCCTTGCGCATGCATAGTACCGTTATCGGGGCTATCGGGGGTATCGGAACGATCTACTAAAACTCTCTAGTACCTTTTTTGGAATCCTCAGTCTTCTCATTGCACCCACCCTCCTTGAAATTGTAATGCGTGTTAAGTTTCAAACTGCATTACTATGCATACTTTGTTTTTCAGCGGTGTAATAACTTGTTATTACAGAGTTGTAAAATAAAGTGATGTATGATGTAGCCCTTGTCTCAGAGCAAACACACCTTGCTCAGGCTGGATAAATTCTTCCGAAAATGTTGACTTTGTTTGAAGCATAAATTATCTTTCTCTTCGTTGTTTTCGCTATCTTGTCTCAGAGCACAAAAGGGTGCCTGTCTCAATGGCTTCGTTTGCCACTCGAACCCGCTATTTGCCGCCTCAGCGAGCATTGTTTCGTTTGGTTCCCTATCCCGATTCGGATGTGACGATACCGGATACAGTCTGGCAGACAAGCTGCCCGACCTCCTAGAGCTCGGGAAAACTTTTGCTGGTAAATTGCCGGTACACGCCTGAGAAGCGCAACCCGAAAAGCTTATCAAAGCTGAATGCTGGGCTAGTTGGTATGGGTCTTGGGTTGCCAAAGGCATGGTAGCGCTGTTTTGGACGAGGACAGCGCTCGTGTCTGTCTTGTCTTTCTTTCTTTCGTCCTCGTCCAAAACAGCGCTACCATGCCTTTGGCAACCCAAGACCGAAAAGCTTGCACCCGCCAGCCTTTGACCACGCGAACGCCCTTGCCGAAGATATGGGAAAACTTTTTTTCAGGGAAAATGACCATCCGAATTGGCCATTACAAGCAATAACACACGACTAGCACAATGATCCACCCGCTCCAAACGACGACATCTTAACGACACAGCGACAGAAGAGAAATGAAGTACCGAATCTGCGCTAGGCCTTTTGAAACCACGTCACCATGTGACCACGTAGCTACGTCAACAGACTCGGGGCTGCACGCAGGTATAAGGAAAATTGTTTCATGTGCTATGCAAGAGATGGTGCCGCTTCGCTTCATCTTCAACCTTCATCCTCAACTGTTTTTCCTTCTTTCTATACCTCACTACGGTGTTCAAATGACAACGGGTTCAAATGAGAAAGGGTCGAAACGTGAAAGGTTAAAACGCGAAGAGTGTTTTGCGAATGGGTTCAGACGAGAAGGGTTCAAATGAGAATGGGTTCAAATGAGACGGATATAAATAAGAAAGGGTCGAAACGCGAAAGGTTAAAACGAGAAGGGCGTTTTGAGAATGGTTTCAAACCAGAAGGGTTCAAATAAGAATGGGTTGTTTCGAGATACACCCCTTTTAAATACCTAGACCAAATAATTTTGCTTTAGAAAGATTACAATTATGGAAAGGGATTTTAATTAGAACGAGAGAAGCTCTAATTAAAGAGTCCTTATTTAAATAGCTGTCCTCTTCTCTGAGACTGGTTTCTTGCGAACAGAGTCGAGCTTCAAAAAAGTCCCATAATTTAAAATGTTTCAAAAACAAATCTTAATATGAAAGCAACCAAATCAGCCTTACAGTGAACCAGCTCAGTTCCTCTAACATACAACTAAAAAAAAAAAAAAAAAATCAGACGCCAGAACGTTGTCTGAGAAAACCAGGAACGCGTGAGGGGAATTCTTTGAAATTTTATCGGAATCAAGTTCTGTTTACAATAAAACTGCTGGCGTTGCACTTCCAATATTTTTTTTTATGCTGAGTTCCGAGTTTACCAGGCGAATGCCCTTAAACGTCGTTGCTGCGTTATGATGTGAAACTGAGTTACGAGACTTGAAAATTACATGAAAAAAGGCTCTTTTTGAATAAATATTAAAAAAATGTGAATGTGCTAATTAAGAAAAACATGTATACACTGAACCAGAAGAGTCCTTCATCTATTCAATGAAAAAATAAGAACGCGTCTTGGATTCATTACAAGTCTAGAAACTTGGAATGCATAAAGGTATGTCTAAAAATACAAAAACTTGCACTTTTTGTTTTCTTATTGTGCGTTAAGTTTTTAAAAATGCATATCACATGATGCACTAAAGAGTGATGATGAATTGGCCGTTTATTTTCCAAGCGAACGAAATACGTGGCACGCGAACAGACGAGACATTTCCACCGCAAACAGGATCGTTAACAACTGCTACCGGCATTATGGTTGGGGCCGTGGGACCGCCGCCTTAAATAGGTCACACGTAAACACTTGTCTAACTTTGATCAAATATTGTCAAAGAACACAGTTCAACATTTAGAATTATTTTAATATATAAGATTTTTTTTAAATATTTGTTAATATTAATGAAATCTACTTTCGAAATGTACCAAAACGGCTTAATATATATATATATATATATTTTTTTTTTGTGTTTTGTTTTAGAAATTAGAAATTAGAGAGCGGTCAAACTTCCATTCCCGAATAGTGGAAGAAACATCAGTTTTCGCCTCTGCCACTTCAGTGGTTAATAACTTGAAAATAAAACACAGCGAAAATTCGATAAACTCAGTTTGCGACCCCTTTCATTTCAAGAATGCTCCCAAAATATATATTTTTGTTTTTGTTAAAAATGAAAAATTAGACTCCAAAACCTTGCTTGAATTTAGATTAAAATACCCGAGGACCCCTCCCCCCCATATTTACCATTTATTTAACTTTACTGGTCCATGTCAGTTTCGATAATTCCTTGCGCGGTCATCATATATATTGGACCTATCAAAAGCATATGAGTGCAACTCTACAAAAAAGCGCATTTTTTCACAGGGTTCATGCTTGACGAAGTGCCGCAGTGGAACTTGTGAGCAAAAGCCGCCATGTTCATTAGCGGCACATTGCAGCGCGCCTTGGGAGTCCCCGGACCAGCTACGTTTCGTTCGCTCTTGGCTTCGCAAAATTTGAAGCAGGAAGCCATAAAAAATAGCTTCTCTTCAGAACGTGAGTTGTCGTTATCCAGATGTCTGCCTTCGCGTGGGAAACTCGAGTACGCCGCCTGAAGACCGATGACATCGGCGAGGTCTTCGATGGTAACGTTTCGTGTCCACCGTCGACCGTCTGCGCCTTGAACGTTCTGTAGCTGTCCAAGACAGCGCAGCTTTTCTTCGAGTGCGGATGACACGGTACGCCCTTCATCACGAGGTAAGAATTGGCTCATCATCAGTATTGTCTGTTGTCCGATGATGTGCCCTAAACCCGCGAAATTTATGGCACTGATGCTATTCGGTGAGAATAGAGGGGCCTGCACGAGAGACGGTAAGATCCACACGTTGCTATTGATGAAGAATGCAATCGCCGAATTCATGAAGTCCAAGTTATGCCACGCCTTTCGCGCTTTCAGAGAAGCAGTGTGCCGGGACGATTGAAGCCAGTCTCCGAGGAACTTGCCGCTGCCTTCTGGGAACGTCCTGTAGAACTCCTCCAGTTTTCTCGAGATGTTCGCGTTCCCCGAAAGGAAAGGCACTTGGTTAAGGGACTTGAAGAAGTCTTCCCGGGCATTGTTGTTGCTGCCACCTCCAGCAAACATGGCGTGGACCGCTAGGGACTTCAGAGACTCGTGGATACGTCGTGCCATTTTGAATGCTGACTCCAGGGTGACAGACGGCATCGCGTTTGCCACGTACCACACGCCGACAGGCATTTCCAAACTTTCCAGGACGTATGACAAACAGCGGGATGGCCGATCGCTTTCTAGTGTCAGTGAAGCAGCCTTGCTTGAACCCATTGGGGCAAGGGAACGAAGCACGTCCCAGGCAGTGATGAAAGTCAGACCCTTGTAGCCGATTTTGCCTAGAAGCTCGCGAATATATTGGACCAGGGATGGAGATCCGTTGTACTGCGTGTTCAAGTCTTCGAGCTGTTGTAGATAATTCCATGAATTTAATTTCAATTGGGAGCTCTAATTTAATTTAGTTTTTAAAGTGATTATCTTTTGAAGCAATTAGCTTTCTTATGCTTTTCAGGCAACCTTGAGATATATGTTTCTGGCCGTTTATTTTTCCCTCTAAATTTAGCGGGGTAAATTACATCACATGATTGGACGTCACCTGACATAGTCACACAATTCAAATTAAGCACAAAATGTAGAGAAAAAATTGACACCTGACCACCCGTGGCTCTTTCAATTATGTTTGCAGCTCATCGTTTAATTAGACAACGTATTGGTTGCCCCCAATTTTCTTGTGTTTATTCTCAGTGAGGCAAACATCAATTATATGTCTTGTAAATTACTATAACACACTCTAATTCACTTTGTCGTGAGTTTTATACACATGGCTGGAAACATTATTATTAGTAGTAATGTTTGGGAATTCACGTACTTTCGATTTCATAGAACATTCCTCTCAATAGCAGGTTTTTGGACCGCATTTACATTGGGACAGTCAATATCTGGCGCCCTATCCTTAGACAGTCAATATCTGGCGTCTTAGGCGCCCGTTTACATTGTCCCAATGTAAACGGGCGCCTAAGAGCTGCGCTCTAAAAATGCTATCAATTACTGATCGATCGGAAAAAGATGCTAAAAATAAATTCTACCAATGGTTTTGTACAGAATGCTAGACATTTTTCGGCAGGGCCTGAACGAGCGGCCTAATCAGTGAAGCCATTCCTTAAACACATGGTAAGATACTCAGTCTACTCTTTGGGTCTGCAAGTATATGCCTGTATGGGCGTGAAGCTCGTGTCTCAATGACATTGAGAGAAAGAGAAAGAAAGATAGAGAGAAAGATAGCAGATAAGGAGGTACTTACGTTAATTGGGACCATGATTGTATCACCAGGTTTGAGGTTCGAATATCTGGTGAACAAAACCTTGACCGTGTGCTCCACATCCAAAATGCGCAGAATTAGGTCTCTCTTGGCGTCTGGAGATATGCTTGCGTAGGCTTCGAGGCTAGCGTCCATCAGTGCGACCTTTTCAAATATGCTCTGTTCCTTTCTCTTTGATAACATCTCGGTGTAGCGCGGATTGAATCCGACAGCATAAAACGACTGATTAGATTCTGGTCTCACGTTCATCAATTCCACTGAGAACTGCGTTTCAAGTTTATATTCGAATGAAAGCGAGAATGCCCTCCTTAATGTACAAAGGGTCATGTTCTCGTCTAATCCCAGTTGCAGGGAGTCCATGAATAGCTTGATGGCTCCCGAGTTGTCCGACGTGGAGACCCGCATGCAGGACCGGTGTAACTTTTCGAGCGTGTACCCGATAACGTCCTGCTGCCGAGATCGGTGCTCCCCTGCCTTGCCGAGTTTCTCGCTTGCGGTGCGGAGAATCGCCTCCTCCATTTGTTGGAACACGCTGCCGTTGGGGTTGGTGTAGTTGCCGCATACGAACTCGTAGAAGTCGTCGCATGGGTCGGCGAGTTGGTTCCTGCTCGCTTCGAGGGCTACCGCCAGTTCGTGGCACTCCGTACTTGTACAGAGTCCGGATGCCACGCCCTTTGGAGTGGGTGTACTCTTTAACACGATAATTATAAACAAGATGGTGGCAAATGTTCCTGATATTAATATGACGATTAATATCGTGGTGCGGATGCCTCTAGGACTGGCGCCGGCTGGCTCCTGGTCCTTGTCGATGCTTGGACCCGAAGTGATCGCCTGTAACGAAGAAAATATTAGAAATACACGCTCAAGGCGTTAAATATGCACCATTAAAACGCTATTTTCTTATAGTACGAAGTGCATAAAAATTACTCTAAACGCGTCAAACGGTAACATGCGAACGATTATCAGCGTATTAAATATAAACTCTAGACTTCAAGAATGAGGCCGTGGTGTAAACGCTCAAACCGATGGGTTAATTTTGTCTATCCCCAATATTTTGGCTCAATTACTTATGCCACTGGATCGGTTTGAAGGCTGTGCGAAAACTTACATGAGACATTCCATTCATGTTCTTGTTTGTTCTTGTTGCTGGTTCTGTTTTTCCATCTTCGGCTTCTTTAACCCAAGGAAATCGTATTTGTCTGTTTTCTTACTCCTTGATATTGTAGAAACTAAAATATTTTTTTGCTTCGCTTTTTTTAAAGCGCCCCTATAATATTTGAGTGGCAAAACAGTACTAGAACCCAAATTAAAGTTCCTCGTTAAAATAAGAACATTAGTTATATTCCAGGAGGGATAAAGGGGAAGGAGTGCACTTAGAACGTAGAAGCATTGTTCTTGGAAGGAAGAAGATATAACGCTGCCCAGCTAGAATTTGCCCAGCACGAGCTCACATCGATTCATATTTTCTATTGTGTTTTAAACTAACTCCAAAGGCAACAAACGCGAGGAGGCAGCTCAAATGCTGTTCCCGCTGCACGAGCGTTCATGGAGTCAAAGAGCAATCAAGCGGATTAAACTCGCGCTTGAAGGGACAAAACTTGGAAGGCGACCAAAAGGACGAAGTCGGGACAAAACATCTTTCCAATTCGTAGCGTCTGCACTTAGTCCATTTTACATTGAGGCTATACCTCGTTTTATAAATAGTGTACAGCACTTCCAAACGCGCTGACGCGAAATCGGGTCTTGATTTGATTTAGCGCTTGATGTGCCTGCGTTCCGGTGCAAATGATACACCATTCATTCAGCCCCACGCTGGGGTCCAGTATCTTTGACGGGAAACGATCACCTTCATTAAAAACATGAATTACAGAGAGTTTTACAAACTGGTCTCCAATGGCTTGATGATTACCTGAACGCGCACCCCAAAGCTTCTTAGAAAGTATCAGCTCAAGCTCACTATAATTTATACTCCGTTTCACTTGATGTCCGAACGCAGCCGACACTACGAGTTGATGGAACCAATCGAAACAGTCTAAAAAGCGCAAGTCGCTGGGTCCTCTTTGATATGATTGGTTCAGGTATGATAGAACATGTACAGGCACGTGAAGAACACAATGTCGTTAATCATGTCGTTCAGTACCCGAGACTGTGGTGCAGAAAAAGAAAGAATTTTAGTCGAAGGAACAGTCACAGAAGGGAACTTTTGACGCTGTTTGATTGGTACCAATACCTCGTAGGCGTTAGTGCTCTCCGAATATATCCAATGTCTCCAAACAGTCGTTTCTTTTAATTTGCATTGAGCTGATTTAATCCCGAGAAAATCCTTCCGCACCACCAACGATTTCCTACAAAAAGAAGAAAAAAATTATGATTAGCCTTGCCGCTTCTTAACGTGCACTGCACTGGGCAGCGAAGTTCTTCTACAGAATTTAAATGTGTTTTTTTTTTTTTTCAATATGGAAGAACACCTTACGCTAACTTGACAGTGTTTGGCTCTTCTCTGTCTTCCATCTAGTATTGCGGCCGCCTCACAGGTGGAGCAGCCTGTTCAGTCAGCGCGATTCCTCGAGTTGGCGCCAGATTCAAGGCTGTTATTACACCACTTCGCGGCAGAAGCTAGACGCCCGTTCACAAAGCGACGTTTTTTTTACATTGCGTTATGCTACGGGAGGTTCCATCTGGTTACGTCGAGTTATGACCAGAAATCACCGAAACCAGAGTGTCGAACCGGAACGGAACCGAACCCAACCCAAAACCAGAACCGAAACGTTATTTTTAGGCGAACCGGAACTGAACCGAACCGAAATGTTCGCCGCCACCTTGGAACTGAACCCGAACTGAACCGGAAAAAGAGGTAACAACAATAAATATAGCGAATAAAATTTAGATTGCTGACGTACTTCTATGTAGTATTTATCAAATCGTGATATACAGAATTGCAATGTAGGAACATTTGTGGGTTCTCATGGCGCTTTTGTATTGACGCTATGATTAATCATCTGTGGCGTGATCACGTGACGTTTATTTTTAATAAACGTCACGGTTTATTTTTAATAAATACAGCCACGTTCATTCCCCCCCCCCAAAACTATGTGAACTTGCCAATCTTCCTACATTTGAATCAAGAACGAAGTATGAAAGGTTAAGGTTTCTTTTTCAGATTATTCATGATTGCGTAAAGATAAGGAAATCTGAGTACTTTGAAATTTCCTCCACTGAATCCTCAAGACATCGTCATAGCATGTACATTCCGAATCCATCTGTTAAAACCGATTGCTTTAAGTACAGTTTTTTTTCCGAGGGCTATTAAAGATTGGAATATATTACCTGATTCCGGTTGTATCATCTATGTCGCTAAATGAATTTCTGGATCGTATCACTGATATTATTGTATGTGCTACAAATTAAAACCCCTACAGCTTGTATAAAGAAATGTTTCACAACTACGAAGTGATATTCGTTTCGTAAACTGCCGAAATAACGAAGCATCTCAATATGTCTGTAACCTTTGTGTATGCTTGCGTGTAAGCGTACATGCTTGTTTATTATTGTCCTTTTTTTCCACCCCTGTAATAGCCCTGTGCAAAGGCTGACAGTATCAATAAATGAATAAATGAAAGAGTATGGTGTCAAGACAGGCTGTCAAATGATGTCACTCTACGTGGCCCCGTGACTCACCGCATCAAGTCGATTTAAATTGAGAACTTCACTAGATTTATTAGCGTTGTTGACACCGTGACATAAAATGACAACACGACTTCGCACCGCGCGTCACATGACACCGTGACGTACTCGATTGTCATGAGCCAGAGTCGAGCGCTCGGATTCGTGACAATCAGCATCGCCAAACATTCGGGAAATGGCTTGTTTTCAATCAAGCATGAGAATAATCTAACTCTAACAATGTCTGAAGCTCAGCCCATGGTCTATGCTTTGCCAGCCCCAGTGCATGGCTATGATGAACACTGGCAGCATATAATTGGCGTCAGTTCACCTGGCCGCCTGCTCAAATTGCAAGTTGACAAGGAGAAAGCTGTTTCTTTTCTTTATTTTTTCTGCGTCTCTTATGGCGCGAAGAGAAAAAAAAAACTAATGGGTGTTTTTGCGGGTTGTGGAAGTCTGGGAGTTTTTCTTGACGGAGTTTACTGAAAGCACAGAAATTGATGCATGCCCTAGTTTACATGTACAAATCATTGAGGCACCAAAATATGTTTTCGTTGTTGCTGAACTGCCCCAGAAAGCTGTCTCCGAGAATAGAAGCATTGAAAAAAAAAAAAAAAAAAAAACTTAATGTGACTTATTCATTCAACATTACAAAGAACTGCAGGTGTGAACGGGAGGGATACCTGAAAAGAAAGACATCCTAGCGGCCCTACAGGGCAGCCGAACGTTGGCGGCCGCTCTAAGCTGCCACTGAGTGCCGTTCTCAAGTTCTTTTCCAAGCTTCGACCCCTCCATATTTTATTTTAACTACACAGTTCTTGAGCGCAAAAGTAAAAGCGATGGAGCATTACTGTTCACAAGTGACACAAATATAGTTGTCGAATTAATATCCCCAAACGAAGGAGGGAGTCCCTCAGAAATAATTAAAAAAAAAAGTACTCTCTAAAGAAACAAGGCGAAAAAAAAGTAGGGGGTGGGGTAGTTTTAGAGAAATACGGTGTTGTAAACGATTCTCTGCCCCGCATCTTCTGTATAGGCCAGAAAGAGTGTCCCCAGAAACTACTTTGTATGCAAAAGACACTCCTGCCAGAAAGCGCGTTCTCGTGGTGCCATACGCTCGCGCCTTTCCTCGCGACGCTGCACCAAACAAGAATAATTCATGTCTTAAATACATGGGTTGCGTTGAGTGCGAACCTTCTGCAGCGTGCATTTCGCACCACCAGATTTGACTTTCTCAGCAAGAACATGTAGCAGTGACCACTTGCTTACAGTGCGATGACGTCAAGTGCAAACCGTGTTATACCCCATTTACACGAGCGCTCTCAGCTATCATTAAAGGGGTCGTACAGCGATATTCTCTAGAAATATTTTTCACTTTAACCGAGCTTACTGGCATTAGTGATACCCAAGCACACTCGAACGCAACGTCACTGACCAAAAAACGCCTTTGTTGCGGTGTCATTTCAAGGAGAAAAGCGAGCGTTTTATTTCAATCTCTTCTTCGCAAACTTGATGACTTAGCCGGGGGATTGTAGTATCCTCCAGTGACGATAATTGAATGCGGCTCACGTATTGGATCCAGTAATTGCTTGAGCCATAGCCTTCTCTGCACTGACGCCGCCTGGCATTTTGCCTAGCAGATCGCCACGAGACTTGGCCGCCGAACGTGAAAAGGAAGAGTGGCAGACAACGGGTGACAGAAGAGCACGAGACGTAGACGCTGAAACACACTTGTCCCGAGCGATGGAATGTCCGTTCGTGCTCCCAGCGTTCTTACCGCTACCGCTTTGTTGCTCGTCAGGTTTGAAACCCAATTTTCGGGTACTCGCCGCTGCCAAAGCTTTGCGCTGAATACCAGATTCCCCGAGAAACGCTCTCTGCTACTAGATCCTCGCGTTCCAAATCTGCGACCGGGCACACTATGGCTCCGTCGTCGAACTGCCAGGCCTTGTGAGCATAGAGGAGGCTAGGCTTGAGCACTCGATTTGGACTCGTGATAATCAACAGCTCGACAAGCATTCGCGTAGTGGCCCTTGTCCAGTCACCGCAGTGACGACAATAGCCGAACCTTAACAATGTCTGGAACTCAGGGAGAGACCTGTGCTTTGCCAACCCCACCGCGTGGCTATGATCAACATTGGCGGCATATATTCAGCTCCAGATCACGTGGCCGCTCGTTCTGGCTGCGAGTTGATGGTGTAAACGCTGCTCGTTTTAGAGCGCAGCTCTGAGGCGCTCGTTCCCGTGTTTCGCGGAGTGGGCGTCGCCGTCGCCGTCAGCGTCGCCATCGGCTTAACCGCGCGCGATGCAATATGGGACGTCATAGACGTATACACCAATTCAATTTCCTGCTAAATTTAGCGAATAAACTGAATTGGTGTGTAGATCTGTGACGTCCCATAATGCAAAACTGCGCATTCAGTTTCCCCGCTAAATTTAGTGGTAAAACTGACTTCACGTGAC